CGGAGTTACACGCGCCGCGGAGGAATATGGCTTAAGGTCGATTCACAGCGGAGCGACGATCGCGATCGATAATATATGAATTAATAATATATGAATATATATTGAATGAATATATATGAAAAAATATATATGAATATAATAATATATGAATTCGTGAATATTTTTAGACATCTGATAAAAAAAGAAACGTCGACCAAACTTAGAACGACCATCAAAGAAGAAATCTGTTGGCAGGCGTCGATGTTTGAAGAAAAATAAATAATTCCTTCTTTCGACGCGCCTTTTTGATCAGTAACGAAGCTGTGACAGAGACGCGTCGCAGCGGACGTCTACGTGTTAACCCTTTGCCGTCGGAGCTATTTTAATTCGAAATCCAAAACATGTTTTCTGATCTACAGTATTTCCATTTTGGATAATTCAGTACGATTTATTCCTATGAAATTGAGCCTATTGACGCGTAGAATACTTGCAATTTTAACAGCTTTTTTTTACATATGAATTAATCCGATGCTGTTACAATTATTTAGAAAAATAGTATAGCAATTTTATATATAATAGTATATATATATATATATATATACTACTTATATATTATACTACTTATATATTATATAATACTTTATATATATATAAATAGTATAGCAATTTAATAGTATAGCGCCTCCGAGTCACCACTCGAGCGCAAAGAGTTAAACTATGACAACGCGACCATGAACATTTTTTTTGTTTAGTACGCGCCTAACGGAGGATCAAACTTTTTTTCTCCCCCGCCTCGGTCCGCGTTGTTCGTTGTCGCTGACGCGGGACGTTTTGGCTTTCCGCCAGCAGATTTTCATTTACGCCGCTAACAGATGACAAAGCATTCGTCGCCCTAATTGCTCGGCCTTCCCGACGAGTACACGAAAGAAAGATCCCGGAATGAGATTCTAAATGGAAACTTGTTTCCAGTGTGAGGCAAGCCTTACCCGCCGCGGAGAACTGCGCGCGGAGGGTTACGCGAGGGGCCGAATAAAAGCGAGCCGTTAAAACGGAATATCGCGTCTTCGTTGTGTTTTCCCTCGGTCCGGCCCGCCCAGGCCCGACGCTGTCAGCCCCGCTTTTCCCGCCGCCGCTTCTCCCCGGAGAGACTGCGCGACGCGAGGCTGCCGCGAAATAAAATTCAGACTCCCGTGACGGCACCCACACCCGCGCGCTCTCTTATCCGGGAATCGCGTTCGCGAATATTCCGATATTACGCGTTCGTCGAACTTTAATGAAGTTCCCCCCGCGAAGGCGAGCGGAAACGCTTACGGTTGTTCCGCCGGTGACGATTGTTCCGCGGGTGAAAAACGAGCCGCGCGTTACGCCGGACAGCCCCGTGTTCGGCGGCCGGCGGTACAACGTTCTGTTCTCCGCGTCCCCGGGAATTGTGTGTCGGGAATTGGTACGGAACAATGAGACGCGAACAAAGGTCGGACAGGGCTGGGAACGGGCCGAGAGCGGGGGTGGCACAGACCGACGGCCGATCGCAAGACGGTGAAGCGCCGTGGGTACCTGAGAAAAAGGGCCGCTCTTGGTCCCTTTATTTTCGTCCGTTTCCTCTTTCACCTATTCACCGGGCTTGTTCAACCCTTCCCGCGCGGCCGTTATGATTACCCAGCGCTAATGTTTGCGCTTCGTGCGCTCCGTCGCCGAAGAATGAACGCTAATCGCGGCCGTCCTGCCGCGTCCCTGTGCGCGCCTGTTCTTTTTCAAGCTGCCAAAATCCGAGCAGATTATTCCGTCGCGAGCACAAAAAACGCTGTGCTCCGGTTCGCTACATCCCGCGTGCGGGCCAGTTCAGAAAGGTGGTCTACATCTCGCGGAGAAACGGGATTCGCCGACCCTCCTGTTGCCTCCGCTCCTGGATTCGAAACGAATTTTCGAACGACCACGGCCGGATATGATTCCCCGCGACGAGATATTCTCGGATACACGCGCCGTCGTTTTGTAAAAATCGTGCGTCGCGTTTCAGATAATACGGGCCGCGCGATAAGCAGCCGACAACGGGAGCGTTTCTCGGCTACGACGTTCAAAAGCGGGGGGGAACTCGAATTTCGCCGAATTTCCCCCGGCCCTGTTTTCCCACGTCTACGAAAGCTGGCATTTGTTATTCATTTATTCATGACTGGGAACCTTCAAATCGCGGAGACGGCGCGTAAGAGAGCGCCCGGCTACAGCGAAAAGAACACCGCGTGCGGCCGGGCCCGCGTGCGACAGAGGAATAAAAGTTGAGGAGAACGAGAGCTGGATAAAAAGGAAACGCTCGTTAGTGCACGGAGCCCGGCGCCGAAGCTAGTGTTTCATCGGATTCTGCCCAGCGCCGTTCTCGAAACGCGAGCAAGAACTTGATATTAATGCCGGACTAGAAGATAGTTGATAACAAAGTACGAGCGATCTCAGATAACACGGCGCGTAGCCGTGGAATAGAAATCGATTAACGCGTCCCTCTCGGGAGGGGGGTAGGGGGTGGCGATTGCGCGAATGCGGCGCAATTTCCTAGATTATTTCGAACGAAATTGCAATGAAGCAATTAGAAGGTAGACACCGCTATCGGAAAACATTCCGAGCTCCCTTTTTCATTTTCCTCGGCCACCGAGCGGTTCGTGATCGTCGTGCCAATGCGTAGAGGATCGTTCTACGACTCGCCGTTACACGCGAAATGGCGACGGCGAGGTAAGAGAAGTCGAGGAAACGAAACTGTTCGGCTGCGACATGATAACGGTCATTTAACAGATGATTTATCGTCCTGATATATTATACTAAACAGTCTTGCCAGCTTTTACACCGCGCGTATTTTACGTGCGTCGCGATTTATTTTTCATCGGTGGAAGCACGATGTCGTCGACTGTTTTCCATGTTCAAAGTCTTACAATTAATTAATCCTTCGCTGTTACGCTTCCTGTGCGAAGCACGTGTTTCGCGTAATTTCCAAACGACTGTCGCCAAAAAATTAACAATACTATTGATAAAGACCCAAAAATTTCCGAACATAATTTGAACGTTCTCGAGCATCGCTTTCTTTATTAGAACTCGATATCTCGCTTCTAGATATATTGAATAAATTGTTAATATCACTTTTTCAAAAAGAAAGTGGGTCATTTTGATTCGGTGTAACAGCGGAGAATTAACCATTTGCCCTCTCGAATGGCGACCCCGAGGCGCCGCTGAACATTGCTACACCATTTGTCCAAGTAGTTTTTACATGATTAAATAGCTTTATATTCAAACAGTTGTTAAAAATGAAAAAGTAAGAATGGTCTTGCTAGCTTTTACGCCGCGCGTATTTTACGTGCGTCGCGATTTATTTAAGCACGACTATAACAAAAGTTATAGCTCAACGAAGGGAACAGCTCCAATTAGAAAGCATTTTACCATAGCGACAACACGGGACGCGCGGTCATCTTTCAAGAGCCGGGTAAAGTGCAAAATCTCTGTTGTCCGTACGATCGGGCGATAACGCGGTCGTGTCGCGGCGGTTGATCTCCAATGAATCACCCGACATCGAGGAAATCGGACGTGACGCAGATTACCGAGAAGCGACTCGTTATCGGGACCTTTGTTAGCAAGAAAGTCGCGATAATCTCGCGTCCGAGCGCGAGGCGTGCGTGCCGAACGATGCCTGCCGGAACTTGGCTCGACGTGTACGCGCGGACCTTGTCTCTTGTCATCGATTGTTTAACGAACAAGGCGAACTCGAAGTACCAGGTGCAGTCGAGCAGTCGAGCTGCAACCAATGAATTAATAAAGACGCGTCGGAGAGGACGAGCGGACAGCTGGTCGCAAGCAGCGCATCCGCAGCTGAGTTGGCCGTAAAAATCGTCGACCCTCTTCCTCGCAACCGCCTCCTCTCGCGAGCGCCTCTTTTCAAAGGGCGGGAAATCAGAAGAATCGATAAAGAATCGACGACTCCGCGGCATTTTGTAAACGCGGTCTTAACGCCGGGAACACGTGTCGGCGAACGCTCGAAAATTGCACGGTTGCTTATCGAAACGCAGCGATTACCGTCGGCGAAAAAGCGCCGACTACTTCGTGACCGGGTCTCGTTAACAGCTGCGGATTTTCCGCGGACGGTTCCCGATGGAACTAGGAAGTGACCCGTCGTGGAATAGTTTCGCAAATGCTTCAGATAACAGCATCGACCTGGTTAATCGGCGATATCGTAGGCACGCGCGGCCCCGCGCCAGTTTTCATCGCTTTTATCAACGTCGCGACGCCGGTGCGAGCGAGCGTCATTTTTCAGCGAAACTGGTCCGCGGCTTGCACCGAGGTGTCGACCTCGCGACACTTACGAGCCGTCACGTTCCACGCTGAACTTATCCACCGTACAATTTAACTTCCGGACTGTCCCTGAGTTGACTACTCGGATCGGCCGAATAAGCGTCCCCGTAGTTCGTGCCAGCGGATGACTTTGCGATTCCGCGTTTGCGAGGATCCCCGAACGCGCGACGACGGTTTATTCTTATTAAAGGAGCGCCGCGCGCTGCAGCAATTCGATTATAAACGAAAGGGAACGGGAAGTTTCCAGCGAACAGACGAGTGCAGTACACTCTTGAAAATGCTCGCGGGACCCGACACGCTTCCGTCGGAAACTCATATCGAACTTGTTTACATGCCGGCAATGCCTGTCCTCCGATTCCCTTCGCGTCTTCGAATCGTCGCCTTCCGGCATAAATTCAATTCCCGGCAATAGGAAAAGTTAGGGGGATGTTTGAGCACAGATTATAATTTCCACGAGTCGGAACTAACTCCGTTCGCCGCTCCCGATCCGTAATATTTCCGCGGGAAACGGCGGCGTTCGACGGGGAAATGTACCTCGACCAGCGAATTAATATCGCCTCGCGGGAAGATAAACAGTTTCGCACGGTAAACACGATTTTTCCCCGAACAAGAATATTGCAAAACTCGCGGCGTAAAGACCGGGAACGGGGGATATCTGTGAAACGGGACGACTGACGACCGGTGCTCTCGTTTGATTTCAGGAGCTTGTGTTGACCACGGACGGGGACAGAAGGCTGAGCCCGCATACGAGCAGAATAGTGGTGAGCAACTGTTCGTCCGTGATCCTGGCGAACTCGAGCCTGGCGTCGATGACGGGGCTGCGCTCGGTGGACCTGGTGAACGTGGCGAACCTGAGCCTGGTCAAGCAGAGCTTCGAGCTCTCGTCGCACAGCGCCCGGACCCGGACCCGGATCACCGTGAGAAACAGCAGCATCGACACGATGCCGAGCTTCGTGTTCCGCGGGGACGTCGAGGCGATCAGCTTCGAGAACGTGAGGATCGGCCAGTTGAGCGCGTTCTCGTTCGCGAACCTCGTGCAAACGGAAACGCTGCGGCTGGAGAACTGCCGGATCGACAGCATGGAGGCGCAAGCGTTCAAGAAGTTCGACGTCGGCTACCTGCACGTGATCGGCGGCAGTTTCGGCGATCAGGTGCCGAGTAGAACGATGAACGACATCGAAGTCTATCACAAGTTCATGCTGGACGGCGTGAAAATGGGCACGGTGCGAAGCGACGCGTTCATCGTGCGAAGCCCGCAAACGGTGGCCATCCAGAACTGTCTGGTCGACAGCCTGGAGAGCGAGGCTTTCGACGTGACCGCGCGCGGTGCGGTCATCCTCAAGAACAACACGTTCGGCAGTCTGGCCATCGGGGCGTTCCTCGGTATCCGAGCCGACCCCGAAGCGAGAACGCCGTCCGGCTCCCCGCCGGCGAGCCTGCACGATCTAATCTTCAAGAATAACAGCGTGGTGAATTTCGAGGAGGGCTCGATGATGTTCGACCGGGCCAGCTTCCGCCTGGAGCTCGACAACCTCCTGGTCGATCAGCCGTGCGACTGTCAGATGCTGCCCGTTTGGAAGAACAACATTCTCAATTACACGAACGTTTACTCGAGGCTCTACACCAGACAGAACTCCGTGCTGACGCCCACCACGTTCTCGAGCCAGGACTCGATCAGCGAGACGCCCGAGACGTTTCTGTGCACGGACGGCGAGGTGGACGGCGTCCCGACCAGCTTCGTCGACTACGAGACCCGTCATTGTTCCCTGGGCGGGTCGGTGATGATGCTCGCGATCGGGATCGCGGGCCTCCTAGTCCTACTGATCCTGCTGACCTGTCTGATCGTCTGGTGCTGCAGGAGGCGCCGTCGGAACAGCCGGAAGAAATGGATCAGCGTGCCGACGAACGCGCCCGACGTCGTCTCGAAGAAGAACGGGGTGATCGGCAGGGACACGGCCGCGTCGAACGCGCCGGTCGACAGCCGGATAACCATGGTGGTGCCCGACGGCAGGCTCTACAGGGAGACCGAGTTCCACGTGATCGTCGAGAAGGCGGAACCGTTGACGACCGAGTTGTAACGAGAGCCGTCGCGCGGCTCGATCGCAGCCGCGGCACCGCGAGACGACGAAGAACTCGAGTGGACGGACAGCCCGAGCCGATTCCGCGTGTACAAGCTCTGAACGGCGTCTCACACCGCCGCACGCGGTTTACGTACTCGGTGTTACCGAGAGAAGTGCGAAGACGCTTTCGTTGTTGTTCGACCAGCCGTGCGACCTCCTCGATCGGAAAAGCTCGCCGACGAGCTCGTACCAACGCGGTGGTTCCTCGACATTTTTCACGTACTATTTAACAATAAGTCGCGCGTCTTGGGAACGAATAGAGCGGGAGATCTTGGAATCCTATTGTTTTCAATTTAACCGACTAATCCTTTTAGTACAAGCCAGTTCGTAAGCTTCCATTCACATATCAGACGCGGCCGCCGATTATGCCGGCGCGGACACGACACGATGTCCGCACGTTCCTCTTGACGATTAAGAGCGTCCCCCCACTCCCCCCCTACTGGACGAAGGTGTCCCGCGGATAATCGGCCCGCGATCTTAGTTTAAGTTTATCGTTTAAGTAGCTTTCGAGGGACGGAGGTTCCCACCCGAGCGACGACTGCGGCGATCAAGAAAGAAGAAGAGTCAGCGGGGAAAGTTCTGAATCGATTGATTCGTGGGAGAGACTCGTCGACGGGATTTCATGTTTTTCTGCGTCGGTGAACGCGGCAACGTTCTACCGGGTCTCCGAGTGGAAACTAACGTGTAACTGTTCGATCGAATTTAGCGAGGGTGCGGAATTCTTTCGGTCCGCCGGGGACCTTCGCTGAAGAAGCAGTGCCATTCCTATAAGAAACGCGAGTTTGTGTGTACGCTCGACGCGAAAGGACGTCCAAGAACGAGGTGGAAAGGTGAACGAACGCTGATAAACGAGAACACCGTGAACCACTGTTGTAACACCCTCTCTCAGAATTGATCGCGTTTCTCACTGTGCTTGTAACACAATAAAAATATTACCTGACATTCCTTGACAATACGGATATGAAATGAATCGATGAGACGTACGAAGCTGTGTAGTTCTAAGGGCCGAGCCGGAGGGCCGGCGACACAACGTCAAATTCTGCGAGAGCATCCTCGAACGGATTTTTCGCTCGGCGAGGAATGCGCGACCCCCGCGCGCGAACCGCCTAACCCTAATCCGCGGGATCGTTGGTTCGTTTGTATCGTTTTTTTTTGTCACTGCGAAACGTTTATTTACGAGCTTGCGTCATCGCCGATGAATTGTTGTTATTGTTATCAGTTGCGATCAGTATCCGATATTGACGAACACGGGGGACGGACCTCTGCGGACGTTATCGGTTCGACTCGCGTACCCCTCCACCCCCTCCCAACCCCCTCTGATCTCGTAACGGGTCGGCCGATAAAGCGAGCGTAAATTCACTGCGACATCCGGAGCGCTATTACAAACCTAAGCATCTCAAGGTTCCGATGATTACCGAGCACTCGAGCGATGATCCGCGAGTCGCGCTGTTCCAGGAGAGAGGTATTTCCCGCGGGGAATTCGAAGAAGACGGACACAGCTGATGCGACACGTTATCCGAAAGCGGAATGCAACGATCGCGGCATGCAGGCTCTATCCCGGGAGCCAGCAGCTATCTCTGTGCACGTGCGAGCGATGCATTATTGATGCGGACTTCGCGCGCCGAGACTCGCGGCGGCGTTGTTTCGGTTTCGCGGTCCGGAGCAGCCGGAGCAGGAATCGCTCACCTCGGAGCCTTTTCAGGTTGTTTGACGACCTCCGGAGCCCGGTGGCCTTGGGAGGCGTCGAGGCGCGACCGATTAACGGCGGCCCGCGAGAAGAAACTCGGGCCCCGCGGGAGCATGTGGGCCCGCGCACGCAATCATCGTGCAGCACCGCGCGCGCGCGCGAATTCGATTTTCTAAGGACGGTTTAGTTGTAATTTATCGTGAGACTGTGATATATAAACGACAGCCGATTGTATAATTTGTTCTACGTCGATCGGGTCGCGGCGACCGTCGATCGCCAGAACCGGAGCGAAAGAGGAAACGAGAACGAGAGAGAATGCGTGTGCGCGAGTGAAAGTGACAGAGAAAATAAAGAAGCTGAGATGCGCATAGAACGACACGATTCGATCACTCGACGAATATTCTACCCCGCTCCTTCCTTTGTTTGTGCAATACAAGGGATAATTACGTCAAAGCCCGCAAGACGACCCTGTCGCAACGATCAATAATCATTTTCGGTCGCTCCAACAGCGGTTATGGAAGACCGTTTGATCAGCGTGTCATCCGATTGTACATGATGTTCCATCGAAAATGGTCTTGTCGGACGAAGCGTTCTTTTTTTGAATTCGAAAGGAACGAAGCGACGCCTATGCAATCAGTAATAAAGAAGGAGATAGCCCTTAACGAAAAGCTATTAATAACTAATACTAACTAACCGTCAACGGACGGTTTAGGTACAGGAAGATGATCTGTACCAAGATTATCCGTGATCCCTTTTCAGCTAGCCACGTGTAGAGGCATGGTAAGACATGGGTAAGTCGCAAAATCGACGGAAAAGACTAGGAATTTCGTTTCTAATTTATTTGTGTCACCCTAGATGACCGATTCACCCCATTGTTTCAATTTGTTCTCCCCTCGAATTGAATTACTTTCATCGAAGATATTTAAGCTTTCTTGAAGCGTTCTTTTTTTGAATTCGGAAGGAACAAAGCGACGCCTATGCAATCAGTAATAGAGAAGGAAATAGCCTTTCGTCGACGGTTTAGGTACAGGAAGATCATCTGTACCAAGATTATCCGTGATCCCTTTTCAGCTAGCCACGTGTAGAGGCATGGTAAAACATGGGTAAGTCGCAAAATCGACGGTAAAGATTAGGAACTCCGTTTCTAATTTATTTGTGTCACCCTGGATGACCGATTCACCCTATTGTTTCAATTCATCCTCCCCTCGAATTGAATTACTTTCATCGAAGATATTTAAGCTTTCTTGAAGCGTTCTTTTTTTGAATTCGGAAGGAACACAAAGCGACGCCTATGCAATCAGTAATAAAGAAGGAGATAGCCCTTAACGAAAAGCTATTAATAACTAATACTAACTAACCGTCAACGGACGGTTTAGGTACAGGAAGATGATCTGTACCAAGATTATCCGTGATCCCTTTTCAGCTAGCCACGTGTAGAGGTATAATAAAACATGGGTAAGTCGCAAAATCGACGGAAAAGACTAGGAACTTCGTTTCTAATTTATTTGAGTCACCCTGGATGACCGATTCACCCCATTGTTTCAATTCGTCCTCCCCTTGAATTGAATTACTTTCATCGAAGATATTCAAGCTTTCTATACCCGACTCACGCCTACATTTTATGGAACGAGTTATACACCACGATATAAATCGCCTTTCAGTAACACAGTTATGTAACTGGCAATTCATTTTTAACCGGCTATTTAACCCATTCCCGATAGAGTTGCGATGAAAGTGGTTCTAAGAAGAGACAGATACTTCTACTGTTATTACTTCGGAAAAGTTTTGTTCGTTGAATGGAAGAGATCCATTGTTGATAAGCGATATCGTTTCCAATTTCAATATTGTAATGGACAGTGTTCTCCGACCCGTCTCAGATCCACTGTATTACCGACGAACGATTGTGCAGAAGCAAGGCAGAACAATTCAGTACTCACCTGAACGGAAGAACGCCGTCGAGTGCCTGGGTGACGGTAGGAGGTGACGCCAGGGCGAATCCTCGTCCAAGTAGAGTTGAATGCACTGAGAAAATCCTCTCTGCGGTCTCCTGCATCGACTCCGAATCCTCTTCAACTTCTTCATCTGAGAAGACAGAGACAGTCGCATTAAATACACGTTCATAGTAGATATAATTTGCAAGATAGATACTTTTCCTATCTTATATTATAAAAACATTTCATGGAAAAACATTCTACGGTAGAATATATTTTACAGACATCTTTATGACTTCCTCGCCCCATTATCTACTTAACAAAACATGAAAACATAATTGTAACCAGTTTCTTGAAAGAAATTCCACGCTAATTGGTCTAACGTTATAACATCAGAACTTGGGACTCATTGTTGAAAATTCAAATGATATAAATAATAATAATAATAATAATAATATATATATATATATAAATAATAAATAATAATATTCGATTCTATGTTCTGTGTTTTAGTGAACGTGATCCACTATAGTTCTCGAAATAGCCGCTATTAATTTTGGGGGTGCATGGGCAATTGATTTTTCACGTCATCGGTATTTCAGAGTGCACGACAGGGACATCCGTATGATAAGCATACCGAATACCTATTCAGCAACAATGATACGTACTAGACACAGTTGGCAATGCAAGGTTCTTCTTCATAAGACTTGCAGCACAAGCTCCACCAAGGAATGATAATTCAGTTTCCAAATTTTTCAACCCATTCCCGGACGATATCCAGTCGTATCCGATAACCAGACATTTAAACCCGTAGGTGATTGCTCCTTCATTCTTCATATAATCCGAAGCAGTTTCCAATGAGAATATCACTTCATTACCTGAAATAATGAATACATTGATTTATGTGTAATAATAATATTATATATATATATTTGATGTGATTTCTCCTACCTGGTAATACGACCGCGTTTTGGGGCCATTGGCTTTGGACGTTGCTCATTTTGTGCAATACTGGCCAATGCAAAGGTGGATCATCTGTTGTTGCGTTCGCAGGTGTTCTAAAAGTACAAATAATTACATGCTAATGTATCTTCGTTCAAACATTTTTACACAATGTAAGTTAACGCTATTTACCCCGATAAAGTGTTCGAGATTATGTTTGGAATGTATAGTTGCAAATAATCCTCCGGCTGAGCGGTGCCACATTCTGGGGTGAATTCGATGGATATCCATTTGACTGTATCCGGGAAAGAGACTTTGTAATGGGACACCGTGGCAGGTTTATAAGGATGCTCACTTTCCAACCACGTGTAGTGATGACTGGTGGTAATGGGCGGAGATACGTGGGACTGAACTTCGCTGCTGTCTTGAGACACTTGAGACGATCCCATCGAGGATAACAAGTTTAATGCAGCAACGTGAGGAAGCATTTCCTGTATTAGAGTTAGAACTTGTACGCCGCTCTAAAACAGAAACATTCGTTATGCAAGTTATACGTGCAAAATACTTTAGGTCATCACAATAGGCCAAATCTTTTAGATTAAAATTTAAAAATTCAACTCGATCTATGTTTTAGCAAGATTAGCAAAATTCGAAAAGCAAGAAATGATCGACTTGTCATTGAATGACCCCATAAACAACAATACATAAAAATAATAATCTTTACTCTTGGATCCGATGTAGCTAGTGGACTGATATGCGCCATAAGCAAGGGCAAAAGAGTTGTTACAAATGTCGCATTCCCTAAAACTTCAGTGGCTACCACTTCTTCCGCTTTTTCTCTTGCTAGTGCAAAAATTTCATTGGACCGTTGAATGATTGTTGCTGTCATAGAAAGAGTACATTTTCTCGCTTGTACTTCAGCCATCGCCTTACTCGTGTATTGTCCATCAGAATCTTGAGGGTTTGAATAATATAGTATGTGTGGGATTTGTCCTCTTGTTTGTGTTGTACCTACATAGATGAAACACATTAGCGTACGTTCTTTTTAAATTTTGAGAATATAATTTATTAAAATATATACCATTAAAACTCAAAGAACAAGCTGTAAATGTGAAAGTTGTTCCATCCGGTCCTTTAACGACGCTTAGGCCGCCGTCGCCATTACTTGTTCGTCCGCCACGGTTTCTCAATCTAATGGCGTACTTTACATTTTCCTTTATAGGAACGGGTTTATCAAATTTTAATTCTACTATGTCATTCACACAATCGTCCGGACCAAATGAACCGCGTGTAAAATCCAAACTACTCCAACGTTGAGTGTGAGATGGATCGTTGCCTGTGTTATTTTGCTATTAAAAGAAACAAATAATTAATAAATAAACTAATGAGTTAAATTAATTTATATCCACTAGAAATAACTTATACAGTAATTATACGTACGTCGTCGAGCAATTCTAATTCATAATCGTATACTCCAACACCACCGTAGATTCCCACCCCAGCGATAACAATTCCAAGTTGATCGACGGAGAAACAAATTGCATCTGGAGAACCATTACCAGTGTTCCAAGATCTCGTTTGTACGACTCGAGTGAATCTCGAGGGTGTAGTGTACATAATTCTGCCGCAGGCAACCTGAAGTTCATCTTCGTTCCCACTGGACTGTGCAGCCAATTCAGCGATCACCCTCTCTAATAAATAACAGCAATGGAGAACCAATTCTGGCAGTGATTGAGTTTTTTCTCTGCACAAACTTTTCTTCACGGGCACCAAGATCAAATCTAACAATCTGTCGAGAACATCGCGGAATGTCCAATTCAATGTCTCTTTCCCGGAATTCTCCATTTGCGACTTGTAACTAATTTGTTCAACTAAAATTGGATACTGATGATTCTCAGTTGAGTTTATCATTAACAAGCCTGTATTGTCTGACGGACTTAGCTGACGTTTAATGCTATCACTGCTCTCCATAATATTATTTAAAATTGGAAATGTACATCGTAGACGGATTGTAGGATTGCATAGAGAAGCTAATACTGCGGATAACAATCTGTCCTTTGTTGTTCTTCCTTGCTCCTGTAAAATACCGTTAATATTAAATTGCTTAATAAAGCACTGTGTTTTAATAAAAACGATTAAATGTACTCACTCTATCAATCTCAGATAGCAGTTCGTAGAGACATGTCCATTTTAAATATGCTGTAGGATAAAATGCATGGTAACATGCTACAAACGTTCTATGACATTCGTCCAAAATGCTGTTTGTCACTTTATTATTTATGGCACCGGAACCTGCATTTAATGTTATTTAGATTTCACAAAAAATATACAAAAACCAGTGTAAAAATAGAATACAATAACGTACTTTTACTTGTTCGCGTTTTTCCTTTACTTTTGGTATTACATGGCACAGTGTCGGACAAAATTTGATGCAATAAAGCACGCACTTCGCCAATGCATTCTGCTAGACGCACCGATTCGGTTGGAGTTTTCTTGCCAACTGTAAATTATTAATATTATATTAACTATAAATAGATACATGGAAAGCGAAATTGACTGCATTGACAACATACTCTGATTCGGATAAATTTCATTGGTGTACGTTCGAAGTAATCGCAAACTGGCTTTGCTAATATAAACTAGACGCTCCATTTCAAGCAACGCATGAAAAGATGATGTAGTATGAGTCATGGTATCATTCAATGATGCTTTTAATGTATTCCAACTCCATTGGAGTAACGATATTAATGACTGGAAACATTCCTGGAAAGAAAGATATCGCATAAATATGTTTCCATGGTTTTATTACTAAAGAAAATAGAAACATACTTTGGTGACTGTCCGACTAAAATCTCTTTTTAACACGTAAACTGGTTCAATTTGATATCTTTGTCTATTAGGAGTCTGGTTTTCAGGTGTAACAACTCGATACAATAACTGCGGAATTTGTCCGGCATTCACGTCTGTTCCATTGTTAGATCTTTTGGAAGATTTGAAGTAAAACATAACTCTGCAAAAAGATATGGCGGTGATGATATATTTTCAATTTTGATCATTTATTCGCAGTTGTACTCACTGATCTTCGGCTGTGACCATTCCTTGACCACCAGATCCACAATCGCTGGCAGGTCCACTGACTTTAGCCCAAGCAACATACCACCTGTTTGCTTGCAAGGAAATTGGTTCGTCGAATAGGATAGAACATTTCTGTCTCGGTCTACATTCATATGGCACGTCCTCCGATTCCGCTAAAAGTTCGCCGTCATTTTCCTGATCCCCTCCATCCATTCCAATATCGAAAAGCTGAAATCATTTGAAATATTAATAACGGTACGACTTCTGGAAATCAAATTGTACGCTGCTTAATAATTACTTTTATTTTTGCCGTGTACTCTCCACGACCGCCAAACAAACTATATCCACCAAGTAAAATATCGGTATCGGGCATAAATCTGATGGCCTCGATAGAGTGCGGTGTATAGCCCCAACCACCGCCAAGACCTAAAAATGTATAGAAATGTACACTAACGAACGTAGTAAAAGAAAATGCGGAATTTTTAATCCTTCGAATACCCACTTTCAAATCTGTTAACTGTGACAAAATCTTCGCGGCTATATATTTTGCCTTGCGTCGTCTGATTGCATTCGTTTTCTTCGATTATAGACAAATTTTCATCTTGAGCCTGTGTCAAGGTGTCCAAGCATCCCAACAAATGCATTGCAGCTTGAGAACGCGTTACAAAACAATTGGACACAACGGGCAGTGCCAAACCTGGGCTCAAAATGGAAACTTCCAAACCAGGAATCGTTCTAGCCTCCGTGGATATAATGTTGTACAAACTGATCTCGTTATTTGTTGGATTGAAAGTCCAAATGACGTTATACAAAGGATCTAAGCACGTTGCACAACTACTAAAGTCGACTTGATCTGATCCGCTGTAACTATTGCAAGTGCCGTCTCTTTTACTTATGACTAAACATTTGAAGGAATTTGCATGATCGTTTTGATGTGGAATTAAAACTGAAACAATTCGTTTATATCGTTAGGTATACTTGCAATGTAGTAATGATGGAGCAGCAATTCAGAAAAGAAGAACATACTTATGCAGTTTTTATTTGCCATAACAGTACTCCTTGTTAAACTAATAGAATTTATTTCATCAATTTTGACATAAGTCTGATCCCCGGTCGCGCCGACCCATGTCGCTCGTCTGCCCCAACGTGGACCGATATTTACAACTAAATTTGGATAGCTATGCCATGGTTGTGTTCTATCGGCTCGATGATTAGCCTGAGTAGTGGTATTTGATGATTCGTTTTGTCCATTCCACCAATTCATGCCCAATTGTCCTTTCTAAATTTAACGAAGAAAAATATAAAGATATTGTACATTTCAATCGAATCTATTAAAACCAGTTGAACGTTAACAGGTAATACAAACTTGATAAGCTCCAAACGTATACACTTCGCCCTTTGATGTGAGTATAACAGTATGATTACTTCCAGCAGCCACCTGTGTAGCTATTCCTGGTATTTTAACTTGAACTGGTCCAGCATGAGCTACTAAATCTCCCACGCCTAATTGGCCATATATGTTGCTTCCAAATGTATAAACTTCTCCATTTTGTAAGAGTATCACTATATGATTGATTACATAACTATCAGAATCTCGTGTCAAATTTGTTAAACAAGCACGAAGAAATCTGTATACATTACCTGTGTGATGCAAACCACATGACACTTGGACCACAGGGCTCTCGCTGGGTATAGGAACTCTAGCAGGTGGTATACTAGCGATTCGTGTAGCGTCGCCTCGTTCTACATCGCTTCCTCCAACACCATCCTCCGTCATTAAGTTACTACTAAATCCAAGTACGATTTTTCCAAGATTACTTTTCTGTGCCGCGCTTGGTCCTGCTAATTTATAGAAAACATTATCATTAAATATTATACAACTAAACATAATCTCATGCATGCACATATACACGATACATCTATTATACGAAGACATCTACCCAATCTTTGATTATTCGGACCTTTCATCTTCATCCCATATTTTGCAGTGCTTGGTCCTGCCTTAGTCCTTTGTCTCTGTTTTATTTCTCCTAGTCGCTTTTGTAAGTATTCCCGAAAGTTCGAACTTGTTTTACCTGAAATAATCGTGAATTTATTATCTAAAAACATTTAATCAACGTGAACGCATACTGAAAATGTGTTTTCTTATATGTTGTAAAGGTATTTAACTACGCAGAAGAGTCTTTCAGATTAAAGAAGACTCATCGGAAGACTCTTTAAAGATTAAATATTTACCAATATAGCAACTTTTCCTGGCACAGGTACGACAACATCCACACTCTGCACATCCACTGTCGCCTTCACCGCATCCGCATTCCCTAAAACCGGATAGTTGTAATCTCATGTAATATGTAACGCCTCCTATACATGAATACTTACTGGCCAGGATTTCGATCAGGACGTATGCTACTCGTACAGGATATGCTGTAACCGGTACACTCTCGACATACTGTGCAAACCATGCAGACACGGTGCCTCCACTGATGCTGTCCTGGGAGGCACATACCTTTTGTTTCTTCCCACTCTTCTGCAGGTTCTACAGCATCTATTTATAAATAATATTATTACATTCGTTACCCCAAGAAATTAAGCATTTACGCATATAGAAGTACCTTCTTCAGTTCCTAAAATCTCATCCTCTACTGTTCCCATATCCATAGCAACGACTGTTGTATTTTTATTAATGGTATGAACTGTTGTAAAACCTCTTCCGCATTGTCCTTTGTTGTTGATTCCAAATGTGTAGAGATGACCTTTGTTAGTCAATACTGCTGCGTGAGCTTTTCCTAATGAAACGTGCACGACGCAAACATCTCTGAGATCAGTGACTATTCCGGATGCTGGGTCGCTATGTAAAGTATCTTTGCCAAACATAAGTAAAGAGCCCTCCTTTGTGACTAACGCTGTTGATCCATTATTACATGCGGCATCTATGATAAACTGTCCTTCTACCTTCGCTATCTTTTTTGGTTTAACTGGCTTAGGTTGTCGGCGAACTTTACCTGAAAACCAGAAAATATAAAATACATATACGAATTCGCAAACTTTTCATTAGACCTCGTATTTAAAGTACTTACTGCTATCGCCGTCTTCTCCGCGTCTAGCAGTACCCGCAAACAAGACTGAACCATCTTCCAAAATCATGACAACATGTTGGCCATCGTGCCCGGCTGCAAAATTTACAAGTCTTGGCCCTTTTCCAAGGGTGAGTTCCACCCACCTATTAGGCCTTGTGTTACTCTTCATACCAAGACTAGTTCCTTTCCCGGTATATAATACCTTCGAAGAACAAAATTAATATCAAGTCACCGTGTTTCAATGGAATTTATTTACATCTTTTATTATGTACTTACTTTGCCAGATATTGTTTTTAATAAACCAAATTCCTTTCCTGCTGTAATCGTAGCAATCTCATCGTCACAACCAGGATTTAATGTATGAACCACTTGTTCTTCATCGAAAGCAGCATAGCCGAAAACGTCTACACATTTCCGTGCTAGTTTCAGTGGCAATTCTGTTGCAACTGTTACTGGATTACTTAACATGTTTATTGTTCTAACTACAAATCCATCCTGTGAAAATAAATAAGATTAGATTTCTACTATGTGTAGTCACATTATATATATATATCAACAATGTGGACTAATACAAAACACTAACGTCTTTTCCAGCCGTTATCATTCCTACACATTCACCATCGGAGAACATAACAGAAGATGACCAATCACGACCTTCTAAAACAGCAATTCCTGTGACTACCAATGTTTCTGCATCAATAATTAATAATTCAGTCTGTTTTCTGGGTGTGCATTTAAAGTATAGTGTATTCTACAAAATAAATTAGATATTAGAACTAGGTTCTTTTATAAGATCGAATATAGATCGTACGTTTAACTTACGTTTGCATAGCCGAGCCAACCCGTTTCAGTTGGATGAAAATCTTTTCTCTGAAGATACAGATGACCCCAAATAGTTCCACCATGGCCACTACCAATTTTTAATAATCCTCTACTTGTATGCAAATACAGGTACTTTCCGTCACTCACAAAACTTCTTCCATTCAATACTATATTATTTATTTCATTTGGTAACTTAAGCATAGAAGTATAAATCTTAGAACATTTAGGAACTCCATATGTAATCCAGTCTGGTCGTGCGAGTTTCCCCAGTAAAACAGCTTGTACACTCCTTTGTAAGGATGTTAATACACATGGCATCTACAATATTCGCATTATAGTTAGCAATATTCAAGTTATATAACAATATAAGTATTTATTGATTGCAAAAAAAGAAAACGTACTTGGATATTTTGGACTGCTAATGCTCTAGGACACATGAGTAAAGCAGCTATCGCTGCCAACAGACGACCAGTATCACCTCTAACAACCACGAGACTTAATAAACAGGCGCAAGCAACTGCTGTCAAATGACTACCGTCATTCGCAGCAGCTGATTCAGGGCCATGCGAAGTTGCAAGATCTAATAATAAATCAAAAAGTGGATCTGCAAAAGAAAAATACCAGTTTTATAGAGTAGACTTTATATTTATACTAATTATAATCATGTATATTTACCGATAACATCATCTGGTTCGGATTTGAGGCCTTCGGGAAGTTGTCCTTGCAATATATCCAATAAAGCAGACAATGCTTTTGTACATAAAAGAGGTTCGATTGTTCTACTCTCTCGCATTAATGTGAAAACACTTCTTAAACCAATACCTACAATCTGGAGATAGATGGATTAAATTGTGACTTCTTTCTTTATATTCATTGTATACTTTATTACTTTATTATTACCTTTGGTAAGTTTTGTATAGTCGATATCCTATCTTCATCATCACTTTCTGTATCAATAGTTTCGCTAAGCTCTGGTGGTGTTGGAAAATTGCAATTTAACGCCCTATAAACTTCGCTTGTTGTCCTAGCATGTCTTTCCAAAATAGCACTTCTAACACTAGTAAACACAGCAAATGCAGAAGCATTGCAAGATAAATCAATTTCCGGTGGGTTATTATAATTCAAATCTCCAGTTAAATCAATCTGAAAATATTCAGAATATAAAGTAAACAATGTTTAAACACACACGCGCATGTAAAAACAATTAATATTACCTTTTTTTTGTCTCTTTTTCTTATAGATTTATTTTTTTTGCATTTCCTCCATTCTTCTTTTTGTCTAAAAATCAGAAAACCATTATCTAATAAATAACATAGCTGAGGTATAATTCAGTAATTTTAAATCTACTATAACTGTTAGCATAATAACAATATAAATTTTTTGTTTTTATAAATAAATATGATTTTACTTGTATTAGTAACTAAATTACATATTTACAAATCAAAAATTTCCATTGATATCGATGTTTAATGACGATAAACGATTGAAAATAATTCATGAAAAAGGTAAGGAAAGTCGGTGTTCTATTTATGTCAGTACTGTCAAACTGACAGCCCCTGTGGCATAGATTTGATACAATAAACAAACTAAGTATTTTAGGTTACTTTAAAAAGTAAGGGCACTTGACAAGTGCGTGTGCAATTTTACGAAGCTAATCGGCGTAGCGTATAATAATAAGTAAATGAAATATAATTTTTTTTATCATAATCATTTAGCTTGATAAATGACAAGTGATGTCACCGCCGAAAGCATCAAGTAAACAAAGCATGAGGGAGGTTATACGGGTTTTGCACCTTTGTGCTTCGGCGATGCTTTTGAAGAGATCATAAAAGCATTTCGCAAAGTTCTCCGGCTCGGGCAGCAACCTTTCGTGGTCCCCGGACACCATGTTGTACACAAAATTTTAACGTACGAATCACCAATTCATTTTCGTAATACTATTGATCGTTGACATTCTCTCCTGCCTTCCCCATGTGATTCCATCGCACGGGTTATAAAAGGGACCATTCCACGATTTCTATCAAAGTGTTTATTTGTTTGACCTACGATTTCAAATTCAGTGACAACATACAACTTAGCAACGAATTACTTTTACAACATTTGAAAAGAGCCGAAGATCCGCCACTGATGTATGTTAAGAAATTCGTCTTGAAAATACATGAAAATACACCGGTGGTCGAAATCACCCACTCCGACGTTCAACATACTAGCCGAAATGAGAGTTCTATCTTGCGCTATGATACTCTATGACCGATCCACAGCGCCATTATTGAGATGTGAATATGTGGTCGTTCAGAGAATTTGTAATACATACAGAAACACGTATAATCATTCGTACCGAAGTTAAGTTTTATGGGATATTTCCCTAAAACTTCAGAGATCTCTATGATCTTATTCTGTCGTATACGTCGACGTGATGTTTAAATTAACTTGTAAACCAAATTGTGTATCGATAGTTGATAAAATTGTATATTATCACTATATGATAAGTTCATTGCAATCTATGATATATTTCTTCAAATTTTCATCCGCAGTTTGAAACGTTTTATATGTATTTATCACTCTCACAGATAAGGTGAGTCTTGTTCTTTAAAATACGTATCCTAAATCTATGATCTGTGTCCGTGATCGCATCTGATAGGCTTTTTTATCTAGGATTTAGGGAATCCTAATCCTAAATTCTAAGTCAAACATACACTTCTCTCTGTTGCAGATGTAGTTCAGTAGGTAAACCGTTCTATTTACGTAGATAGAATCCGCTATTGTACCACAACATTTTCCACAGAGTCGGTAATTCAGACTCTGAGACAGAAAAATGAATTGCATGCAATATCTGTATGTAATCCTAAGTCTGTGCTGCGGAATAGGGAAAAGTGAAATCTACATAACATCACATAACATACACTTCTCTTGCGAAGAGATGAGTCTACTTATTAGTTTAAGTCAGAAATAGTAGACAATTTTGACAGCTAGTTAATTCTAAATTCCTAACCATAAATTGTAGCAAAAAGGCACATTATTACGATATTTTTCTTGCTGGTTTTACACAAGTGAGAACAATGTCTCGTCACCGAGACGTACGCTGTATGAATTATTCGGAAGGTACGTATAATCTAAATTTTGGTTTCATTCGATTTCGTGTTTTTTTATTTTCAAACATTACATATTACTTTGTACAGAATATGAAGGTTATGATGATGTCTATGGACATTCTGTTGAAGACGACTACTGTGTTTCTCCCAGCGGTATGTTCTATTCAATAGATAGGTTATTTTCAATTTTATAACATGAATTTTTGAGATGTTGTCTCATCAGCATATGTTCTTCTGTACTGTATTGATTAGTCTCGTATGAGGCCTTGATTACATATAATTGACATATATGAACATTTCATCGATCATTTTACAATATCATTTACAGCGGAACAATTTTTATTCGATCGGAGTAAGCAACAGAATATTGCATCTTTTATTACGGAACCAGATATAGTAGAAGATAATGAGGACGACGAAGAAACAGCACATTCCAATGAGAAAGATGTAGCTCTTACAGACCTAGAGAAGGCTAAGCTTATGTCATGTATGGAATCTGTAAAAAACATTATAGGTGATACAATACCAGATTCTAAGATAAAGGAACACATCATTCAATCGAATTTCAATGAAGAAGTGGCATTGAATAGCATTTTAAACGAATCCTCTCCAAAAAATGTTAAACGTATGTAAATTATACATGTAATTCTCTTATTACAATAACTAAACAATATATTGTACTATAAAATTTTTAGAATCATCAGCGATCGCTAAGGATACTATAATACATTACCCAGGTATATTACGTATTCGTATTATTTAATAGTTTATAGTATAAAACAAAACTTTAATACAATCTATAAAGTTAATGTACAATGAGAAATGATGTAATTTGTTTCTTGACCTGTATTTTTTTTTGTTTTATGTGCTGCTTCTGAATCAATCGGTAAGGTAAGATGCTACATCTACTAATCATCCGTCTAGTTCATTCAATATACCAAAATTTTCATTCCAAAAGCAGAACAATACTGAAAATACTACAACAAATGCATCTATTTCAAACAGTTTACAAAGTTTAAAGAATTTGAATCTTAATGATTCACCTTCAACATTTTCTTCTTTATCTGAATTGATAACAAATCACACTAAATCATCGCTGAATACTTCAAAGGAATGTCAAACTAATGCAAATACAGTATTATTCAATTCTTTAGCAGATTTAACAGCACACCATTTACAAAATTCATATAACTGTGACATTACAAATTCTAACGAAAAAATATCGTGCAGTACAAATTTTGTCATACCTAAGTTATCAATTAAAAAAGATAAAAATAATGATTTAAATAGTACAAAATTAGATTCATCTATTGTCCAAGTGAATGCCAATACAGAATCAGATCTAACGGGTGATAAAAAAGAAAGATATTCTATGGATTCGCTTGAAAGAAGCATATCTAATGTGCTTGAATTTTCGATAGACTGTAGCAGTAATGACAGCAATTTATGTAATCTAGAGGTAAAAGAAAATTTATCGCTAAATGTAAGTGGTACTCGAACACCGTCCCCGGATAACTGGTTGATAGATTTGAGTTCAGCTTTGAAAGAAGCAACGTCCTTGGTTTCAAAGGAATGTAATCTTATAAAGCCAAAAGTTTCGGAAAATCTTGACACTACCCCTCCTCATTCGAAGATACCTACTTGCAATAAAAATTCTGAAATTTCATATCTACTTCTTCCTACGACTTTAAATTTAAGTTGTTTAAAAAATAGTAGACTTACATACACAAAAAAGAATGTTTCATTATTTGGTAGAACATTATGCAGAAAATGGAAATCAAAAAAGCCAATTCTTAAAACGCATGAACAGTTTCATACTATAAAACGATTTGATTTTTCAATACCATACAGTCGTAATTAACGAAATATTCATTTATTAATAGCATGCTCGGTTACAGATGGGACAAATTTTGAATTTATTTTACATTCTTGATCGAAATAGTTCGGGTCGACCACAATTTCATATTTTTTTAAATCAAAAGTGTACAATATGTAGCACATTATATTTTCAAATTAAATAGAAGATCGTAATTAAATTTGATATTCTGAAATATTTATCTTTAAATTACATAAACGTATTTGATTGACATAAAATAATTTGACATTAGGGACAATAAAAGGACTAAAGGGTCAAAAAGAAGTACCTTGAAAAATATGTTTAAAAAAGTTCATAAATAAAGCTATGAATGCTTATGAACATCGTCAATTATATGGTTATAAAAAAGGTCCACTGTCTGAAGGTGAAATTAGATATGAGAAAGTCATGGGATAAAATACAACATTTGAGTATAGTTTTAAGAAATATAGATTTTAGAGGAATACAATTACAAATAATATACTTCAAATAAATTCACAGAAACACATTAAAATCTTAACTCTTATGATTGTTACTGGATAATCTTAAATGATTTATTAACGATACAACATTCTGACTTGTACATAATGACTTATGTAATAAGTCATATAATTGTATTTAAATAATTGTATTTACTATTAAACAGAAATTTCGTGGAGATGTTCTTCAAGTTTTAAAATAGAATTTTAAAAAATAGTTATACTAAATGTATATTTTGAATATATCCTAATAGAAAATTTCATATTGTTACACGTATTTTTGTCACATTTAATTTTATAATAATAAGGCAATCACAATAAATTTTATGAAAGGTAAAACATTGCTAGCCAAATCCTCATCGAGAGCTACACCTCCTTCCAATGTGAAAATTATCCCGGCTGGAAAACAACCCATAGTAAAGGGCTTTGATTTAAGTGGAGCAGATAATACAGATCAATTAAATACTCGGATCGACAGCCACCGCTCTCGAAGCCCAATCGCCGATAATAGTCCAGAAACCAGGAGAAAGGAGTATACACCAAACGAGAAGAAAGTATTTTCTTCAAGTTCGGACAGTCCTCGTAGTCGTTCTCCTGTATTAGGAAATGTAACATCTGACTTGGATTCTAAAGCAAAAAGCAACGAAGAAAAGATTGACGCTTTGAAAGTGTATAAAAGTAAAAGAGGTGACAGTAAAGAACAACTACATTTAGTAGTTGTTGGACACGTAGATGCAGGTAAAAGTACTTTACTGGGGCGACTTTTGTGCGACTTGGGACAAATTCCATCGAGATTGATTCACAAGTATCAACAAGAAAGCAAAAAGATAGGAAAACAGTCATTTGCTTATGCATGGGTTTTGGATGAAACAGGAGAGGAACGGTAATTGTAATTTCTACAATAACAAAATTATTCTTTAAAGTACATCATATCTTATTTACTATATACACATATTTTAGAGAACGTGGAATAACAATGGATGTTGGTCAGTCTAAGTTCGAGACAGAAACAAAGTCCATTACTTTGTTGGATGCGCCTGGACATAAAGATTTTATACCGAACATGATTATTGGTGCTACTCAAGCAGATGTAGCTTTGTTGGTGGTAGATGCTACGAGAGGAGAATTTGAAACTGGTTTCGATAGTGGAGGTCAAACTAGGGAGCATGCATTATTATTACGTTCACTAGGTATCGTANAATAGAAGATCGTAATTAAATTTGATATTCTCAAATATTTATCTTTAAATTACATAAACGTATTTGATTGACATAAAATAATTTGACATTAGGGACAATAAAAGGACTAAAGGGTCAAAAAGAAGTACCTTGAAAAATATGTTTAAAAAAGTTCATAAATAAAGCTATGAATGCTTATGAACATCGTCAATTATATGGTTATAAAAAAGGTCCACTGTCTGAAGGTGAAATTAGATATGAGAAAGTCATGGGATAAAATACAACATTTGAGTATAGTTTTAAGAAATATAGATTTTAGAGGAATACAATTACAAATAATATACTTCAAATAAATTCACAGAAACACATTAAAATCTTAACTCTTATGATTGTTACTGGATAATCTTAAATGATTTATTAACGATACAACATTCTGACTTGTACATAATGACTTATGTAATAAGTCATATAATTGTATTTAAATAATTGTATTTACTATTAAACAGAAATTTCGTGGAGATGTTCTTCAAGTTTTAAAATAGAATTTTAAAAAATAGTTATACTAAATGTATATTTTGAATATATCCTAATAGAAAATTTCATATTGTTACACGTATTTTTGTCACATTTAATTTTATAATAATAAGGCAATCACAATAAATTTTATGAAAGGTAAAACATTGCTAGCCAAATCCTCATCGAGAGCTACACCTCCTTCCAATGTGAAAATTATCCCGGCTGGAAAACAACCCATAGTAAAGGGCTTTGATTTAAGTGGAGCAGATAATACAGATCAATTAAATACTCGGATCGACAGCCACCGCTCTCGAAGCCCAATCGCCGATAATAGTCCAGAAACCAGGAGAAAGGAGTATACACCAAACGAGAAGAAAGTATTTTCTTCAAGTTCGGACAGTCCTCGTAGTCGTTCTCCTGTATTAGGAAATGTAACATCTGACTTGGATTCTAAAGCAAAAAGCAACGAAGAAAAGATTGACGCTTTGAAAGTGTATAAAAGTAAAAGAGGTGACAGTAAAGAACAACTACATTTAGTAGTTGTTGGACACGTAGATGCAGGTAAAAGTACTTTACTGGGGCGACTTTTGTGCGACTTGGGACAAATTCCATCGAGATTGATTCACAAGTATCAACAAGAAAGCAAAAAGATAGGAAAACAGTCATTTGCTTATGCATGGGTTTTGGATGAAACAGGAGAGGAACGGTAATTGTAATTTCTACAATAACAAAATTATTCTTTAAAGTACATCATATCTTATTTACTATATACACATATTTTAGAGAACGTGGAATAACAATGGATGTTGGTCAGTCTAAGTTCGAGACAGAAACAAAGTCCATTACTTTGTTGGATGCGCCTGGACATAAAGATTTTATACCGAACATGATTATTGGTGCTACTCAAGCAGATGTAGCTTTGTTGGTGGTAGATGCTACGAGAGGAGAATTTGAAACTGGTTTCGATAGTGGAGGTCAAACTAGGGAGCATGCATTATTATTACGTTCACTAGGTATCGTAATTTATATCTATATTTACATTCTTTAGTGTAGTACGTATTTATAAATAATTGCTTTTTTTTAGGTGTATTACAATTGGCAGTAGTTGTAAACAAGTTAGATACAGTAAACTGGTCGCAAGAAAGATTCAATGAAATAATAGGTAAAATGAGCATATTCTTGAAACAGGCTGGATTTAAGGATAATGTCGTCTTTGTTCCATGTAGTGGTTTATCTGGTGAAAATATTATAACACAACCAAAAGAAGCTTTATCTAATTGGTATATTCATTTTCAAAGATATCCAAGAAATTGTAATAAATAAATTAATATTTTTCTTTTGTACAGGTATCAGGGACCCACATTAATTAGTGTTATTGACAATTTCAAGTGCCCTGAACGTCCTGTGAATAAACCATTTCGACTATCGGTTAATGACGTATTTAAAGGTACTGGATCTGGATTTTGTGTTTCTGGGCATGTAGAAACAGGTATGGCGTCTGTAGGCGACAAAATTTTAGTATTACCTGGAAACGAAATGGCAGTGGTCAAAGGTATGTTAACTTTCTAAATATCGCTGTCCATCGAATTTTAACTTCTTCCATGTATTCTAATATTTAATTTAATAAAAATTATTAACTTGTATTTTAGGTTTACAAGTTGACGAGACATCCACAACAAATGTGTTTGCTGGGGATCATGTTGTTTTAACGTTATCGGGACTTGAACAACAGAATGTTGGAATTGGTGATATTATTTGTAATCCACAGTATCCCATTCCCGTAACAACGTGTTTCCAGGCCCACGTTGTGGTATTTGCAGTCAAAATCCCAATTGTGAAAGGTCTTCCAGTGGTGATGCATCAGCAATCCTTAGTGCAACCAGCTGTGATTACAAAATTAGTGGCTCAGCTTCATAGAACTACTGGTGAAATAACGAAGAAGAAACCTCGCTGTTTACCAAAAAATTCAAGTGCTATTATCGAAATTACAACGCAAAATCCGGTCTGCATGGAATTATACAAGGATATCAAGGAGTTAGGTAGAGTGATGTTGCGCGTAGAAGGAACAACTGTTGCCACTGGACTCGTTACAAAAATTAAGTAGTTACAATGAAATTGTTGCTTCGTATATTGGAACATCTACAGTCATGCATGCATGGCAGCTATTATATTTATATATTGTTGCTGTTATGTAATCATGTTTTTGTTAATTTATGTATACATGTATGTACATACGCGTTCATTTGCTACCAAATACTCACACTCACTTCTTTTTCTAGATAGTGTGTAATTTCTAACATTTTTAATGTAAAAAGTAACTAATCTGTTTAATAAAACTGTTCTTTGAGAATTAATCATTTATTTATTACATAAACTTATTTGGGGAGTTGTAGTTTTTAATAAATTCAAGTTTCAGAACAATAGTAGTAATGCTTATATAAATGATTAAATGTATAATCAAAGTTTACATTTTAAATGTTTCTTTTTTTGCGTATATTTTAGCGAGCACAACTGCTGCATCCACCAAATGGAATGTTTACATTATCTCTTGTGTTAGGTCTTCCCAATCTACGTGGTGATTGTGACCTATACAGAATACACATAGTTTTAATATTGATTAGATTAAAAACATCTCATAAAGATATGGACAAGAATGATTAGTGTTATTGAAATTATAATTTGCTTTGAAAAAAAGATATCTGGGATTCAATGATAATCATAATAGTTGTTCACCCTACTGTATATTATAAAACTGAAGTAAAGTGGACAGCCATTATGGCAGACAACCATTATTCTTTAAAACAGTAACACTATGGCATAAATCTCTTATCAGTACTAGAAGGAAATTATTAAATCTCCTCTTACCCAGATCCAGCTCCATAATTTCGTGAATTTCCATATTTATTCATATCAGGATTGACCATTGTTCTAAAACTGTGATAAACAAATTTATCTAACGTTACTTAAATCCTCAAAGAAGTTACAAATACAATAAACGTAAGAATAAAAATTGTCACTCACAATAGAATAACCATATAAATTATACCAGTAAAGAAACCAAATATTTTTTTCGGCAATGATATACTTTGCAAAACTTGTCCATCTAAAAATTATTTAACGGTAAGTATGTTTAAGTAGATGAGCTATGTATCGCATGTAAACAAATGTTATATGAAATATTTGTTACGTGTACGATATTTGAGGTTAAACGTTTTACCTTTCGACACATAAACCATGATTTCAGGTTTTCTATAGAAAGACTTTTCCAACAAAACGCTATGGCCAGGTATAATTAAAATCGTTCGCGGGTGATTTTACTCGTAATGTCGTTCACAGTCGACGGTTATACTTCTTGACAGAATCAACATCAACACCACATCAGGTGTCATGCGCAAACGGAGTTGTCAGAGGTGGCGGAAACGTGTCCGCCTAGGAATCGCAATGACACATAGTAGAGGGGAGAAAGGACGGTATATTACTACGTACAACTACGTAGCTCGTACAGTCATGCTTCACCATAGTAAGCAATTTTGCTTCACCATAGTACAGTCATGCCTGACCATAGCAAACAATTTTGCTTCACTATAGTACAGTCATACCTGACCATAGTAAACAATTTTGCTTCACCATAGTAAGCAATTTTGCTTACATATTAAGCAAATAAAATGCTGCACCATATTAAGCAAATAAAAATCCCACTATTTTAATGCGCATTCAGGTCCGCGCAGTTGCTTTAGAAAAAGGACGTGGCGCGATATTCGATTTGTACTTTTCGTCCAATAGGATTTTTAATCATACAGTTCAGCGTATTTAGGAACGTCTTGAAACGGCGACCATTTGTTAATCCAGCCATACCAGTAAGTGGTTAAAAAATAAGGCTTAATGATATACATAAAATTTATAAAATTCTTTACAACTGACAAAGTATATCTTCTAAGTCCCAAAGAGTTCCGCATTCAAATAGGATTGAATGTTTTCAGCACTTTTATTTCTACAAAATTATATAAGAATCATGTCCATATTCCTCCACCTTTTCAAGTTATTACATTCTATCACAACAATATTTTTTTAACTATTTATAATTTTATCAAATTAAAAATCTAATACAGGCTTCAATTGTTTTCTTAAATTTGTGGTTTTATTGTATTTACATACACTAGTCTATATTTTGTTATAGAATAACTACAATTATGTGGTTACTGAACAATTC